GGTAAAGAAAAAGCTAGTAAATGTTTCCTTTATCAAATAAAACATACATGTCTCTGAAAAAATGAAATGACCAATTAAATAGTAAAAAAAATATTCTAGATAGATTTTATTTGCATATATTGAGCAGAGCAAGCCAGACAGAGAGTACATACTGTATGATTCCACTTACATGAAATTCAAGAACAGGCAAAACAATCTGCTGATTGAACGAACAGTGGTTAAGGAGGGAGGGGTTAACTGGAGGGGGCAGGAGGGAACTTTGTGGGGTGATGGAAATGGTCTATATCTTGACTGGGGTGTGGGTTATACTGGTGTATACCTTTGTCAAAACTCACTGAATTGCATATTTAAGATCTGTGCAATTCACTGTATGTAAATTTTACCACATTAAAAAAAGTATATCACTCTCTAAACTTGAAATAATTTCTACACCAAGACTTCTTTCAGTTGAATTTCTTATAAAAAATATTGTAACAAAAAGAGACTTAAAAAGTTTCCAGGTAGTATTCTTCGGCACAGGTGTTATATACTGTTTTTTGTGATTTAGTGTAGCCTCTGAGTCAGACTTTTGTGAGTTGAAATCCCGGCTTAACAACTTACTAACTTGGGGAGAGCTACCAAACTACTCTGTCCCTCAGTTTCCTCATCTGCAAAATGGAAATAATAGCACCCACTTCACAAGTTGTCAGGAGGATTAAATAAGTCAATAAAATACTTAGTACAGTAACACTATGTAAACATTGGTTATGGTTATTACCACACTACAGATTTCCACTTGAAGAGGTTGTCATCCAGGTAATCCAAAGCCAGGTAGGCCAACAACTATTCCTATCAAAGTAATTATTTACACAGAATCCCTGAAAGTCTTTGGCTTCCGCACACAACAAGAATGAGTCTCAAATGATTCTGGAGCTTTTTGTTATTCAGTTCTTTAAAAGATTCCTGATTCTTGCCTGGGACTTATTCTTGCTAATCTTTATCTCAGAGAATTTCTGGATATGAATGAGAAATATGTACAAAGGTTACAGACAACTCATTTATTTTTAATGTACAAGTATTTAAACCACATGAAAATTATCATATTTCAAAATTTTCTTTTTCTCCTAGTATTAAAAAAGAAATACTCTATATTCTGCACTAAATGATAGTTTATGGATTTTCTATAAGCTAGTTACCAGTATAATGGTACCATCAAATGAGTAGTCAACATGTATCATACCTATAGGTTAAATATTGGGTTGTCAGAAAAGTCATGACATTTTTGCAATGAAAAGCATAGAAAAAATATGTCTTGACTTTTCCGACAACCCAATATACAGGTTTATTCACCTATAAACTTATATACATAGACTGCAGTCTTTACTCTGCATTAAAATCTAATTCAAAAGATAAAAATGAAGAAAATGTACAATCAACATAAATACATAGTTAACATTCCATAGGTACACAGGAAGTGAGGAAAGAAGATACATTACTGTATAAAAACAGGTAGACCTTAAACTGAAATTTAAAAATTCTAAATACAAAACTTTTTTAGGGGCGGCCAGTTAACTCAGACGATTAGAGTGCAGGTTCATAACACCAAGGTTGCTGGTTCGATTCCCACATGGGCCAGTGAGCTGCGCCCTCCATGACCAGATTGAAAATGACTTGACTTGGAACTGATGAGTCCTGGAAAAACACACTATTCCCCAATAAAGTTAAACAAAAAACTTTTTTAGCTTGCTATTGGACCTGTCAACTGTAATCTAAAAGAAGTGTTTTGAAATGGCTAGATAAATCCATGTAAAGTCATCATTCAGTAAATGTTTGATGGGGTGATGATAAATATGTGACTGAATTTAAGAACTGAATGTAAGGAGATGAGGACATCAGAGAAGCATTAGAAAGGCACTCTCAGTTTCAAAACGTGGTTTGTAGCCCCAGGATCTGGTTTGTCCCCGTAAGTTATTAGGCATTTCACGCACCCAGCTAAATGAGTACCCATCAGGCCAGTGGTGCGCGTCAGAAACACCCAAGGAGCTTTTCGAAACACATGGCCTAAGCTCTTCCCTTGAGATTCTCATTCAGCAGGTCTATGGGATCTTGGCATGGATGCCTATTCTGAGAGAGCTTGCTCAGTGGTCTAGGCAGATTCAAACCACTTTTGATTTCTGTCATTTCTTGGACATATATCTTAACCGTTTTTTTTTGTTGTTGTTTTCCAAAGCAAGGCTAAGTTTATTTAGGCAGAGGAGAGACAAGGGGAAGGCTACTCCATAGAGCAGCCCTGCTCCTGCTGGGTAAAAGCAAAGTAAGGATCAGTTTCTATTTTAATCTTTTAAAAAGTATAAAAATCTCACCCTACCAAAGTAAATCTTGATCTTTTCGATATTATTGAAGTCAACCATGTTTAACAAAATTTAAAAAAGAAATACACCCCTTGCTCAAGGCATAACTACAACCAAATTATCACTGAAAGATCGATACCTAACTGGTTTTGAAAATCACTGGGAGGAACCGTGAGAGTCAACCTCTTTATTTATATCTAAAGCAGTAGTACACAACCAGAAGAGAATTCCTTTAACCTCCATGTTAATTCTGCTGGGAATTTTCCAAGTTACAGTTGTTTCAGGAAACTTGGGTAGGTATGGTCAAGAGAAACCCAGGGGAAATGGCTCCCCAAAATTCAGATGGAGCTGACGCAGTAATTTCACTTCTAAGAATTTGTTTTAAGGAAATAATTGATCATTATATAGATTGTACACACACACACACACTCTATTCATATAAGAAATAAATCTAGGGCAGTGGGTTGGCTCAGTTGGTTAGAGTGCAGTGCTTGTAACACCAAGGTTGCCAATTTGATTCTCACATGGGCCAGTGAACTGCGCCCTCCACAACTAGATTGAAGACAATGACTTGACTTGGAGCTCAGCTGCGCCCTCCACAACTAGATTGAAAATGACAACTTGACGTGGAGCTGATGGGTCTTGGAAAAACACACTGTTCCCAATAAAGTTTAAAAAAAAAGAAAGAAATCTAGAAAGATACATATACCAAACTCTCAATAGTGGTCTTTCTCTGAGTGGTGTGGACTATGAATAATATAAAAAAATATGCTCATGTGTATTGTCTAATTTTTTAATAATGTATATGGAGCTTGTATAATAATTAGAAAAAGGACTGAGATATTTTCCAAAAGTTTTAAGTACTGGCAAGTATTGGGAAAATAATTATGTTAAACATGAAACCTTTTAGAGCAAACCAAGTATTGCTCTAAAGCAAGACGACCAAATTTTATACCCCAAACTAACAAATTGACTGGCTCTAAAAAAAAGGTTTTTAAGAAAGTATTACATGCCTTTTAATTTTTCTTAATAATTTACTCTTCCTTCACCCCACAATCACTTTAACACTTCAAATGTTTTGCATCTCTACATGGAGAAAGACAAATAATACTTTGGATACTTATATAGCTTTTGCCTCTAAAAATTGCATACCTGATAGTTTCTTTAACATTGATTTTCTGTTTTAAAATGTTATCTACTTCTGTCTCTTCTCACTTACCCCAATGTCCAAAACATTATGTCTAGGGGAATAAAAATTAGGACAGGCATCCCTTCTCCCCCATCACTGATATGAACACACGTATATGTGAATGAACATGTGTGTGTATATTTATTTACATTCATTTTTTTATATCATTAACATGCACATACATACACAGTAAACAGTCTATATAGAGGCCATCATCTTGACAATATGATTACTAGTTTCAAGGCCTAGAAAATGCAGCTCACCATGTAAAAGTATCTCACCACAAGAAATCAATAATTTTCAAAGCTGGTAAAACTTAATATCAATTCTACTTAAAAAAAAAAAAATCAAAGCTACAGGTAGGTTGACCGCGTAGAGAAATACTTAATACCAACTGGATTGCTCTTAAGCTTACCTTACAGCTTTGAAAAACTCTGATTTCTTGTGTTTTTCAGTGGTGAGCTGCATTTCCTGAGGGTCAGCCGACTTCCCAGCAGGAATTCCAGTCTGATGAAGAATCAGCAAAAGGAAGCCCTCACTGAGAGACACACTGGTATTGTTCACTGAGTGGAGACAGTGAAAGAGTAACATATTTCTAAAGGCAATTTAGATTATTAATATATATGCTTACATTGAAAATGCAGATTTAACCTCTCGTGGCAGAAGCAACAATTAATTGCCCTTGAAAACCTGACTGGTTTCTCTACAAAGCATTTGGCTTTATTCTACCTCCCTCTTCGGGATGATATTCATTCACCATAGTTCATCCCTTAACTGCCTTTTCAAGAAAACAAAATGAAACAAAATCTTTAGGCATGAATTTGAGTGATAGTGATGCCATATCTTCTAGTAACAATGCTGGAATACTATAGCAGAAAAAAAATTAGTGAGGCAAACCTTTATTAATTATAAAAATTTGTGAACATTTATCCATTTTTTGCTATCACTTCACAAAGCTGTGACAATCAGGTCTGAAAATCTTGATAATCTATACAGAGATATTTTTGGTAAACAAAATTTTGAAATGAATATTTCACACTTTCAAGAAAAATGTGTTTTCTAAAACGTTAAAACACCATTGTTCACTAGGCATCAATAGTGAGAACATAATTGTAGAAACTATGTCTTAGAGAGCAATAAAACTTTTCTCTAAAAACATCCCATCCTAAATACATACTTTTCACTTATACTTCTGAATTGTAAGGCTTATCGTATTTATGGCTTTAGATGGTGCTGTCAGTAGAGTACCAGGAGCCACATGTAGCTATTTAAGTTTAAATTATTTAAAATAAAACAAAAAGTTTAGTTCCTCAGTTGCACTAGCAACGTAGTAAATATACAACAGCCACCGTGGCTAGTGGCTACTGTGATGAACAGCATAGATCTAGCCCATTTCCACTGCTGCAAAAAGTTCTACTGGATAGTACAGTTCTAGATAAAGCACTGAAAAAGAGAGAGTTATTAGAGCTCCAAGGCCTTACCTGGTCTGAGAAGGTGTGGGTGTGTAAAGGGGCTGGGCTGGCCCAAGTATCGGTTTGGGATCCTCCTCTCTGGGATGGGCTGGAGGGAGTACCTTCGCTGTGAACATGACACGCATCCTGAAGGAAAAACAAAGATGAAATGAACAACAAATATAGAAGGTGCTCACAGTATATCTACACTTATCTATCTCCAGCACTTGGATGCTTTACAAAAATGCAATCATTTTTACCTTCCCTATTTATATGGCCCTTCCTCTGCGCCAGCCAGAGCCTGTGTTGGGCCTTAGAAATACAGAAAGGACATCATCTTTACCCTCAGCAACTCTAGTCTCTACTATGGTCTAATAGAGGTGTATAAGTAGACAGTATGACTAAGGTATAAACACGGAGCTATGGGAACAGGAGGAAGGCAACAAACAAAAGCTGGGGAGGGATGAGGAAGTATTTCACAGAGGTAGTAAGTATGAAGCCGTGCCCCAAAATTCGGAAAAATAGAATTGACAATTTCATTAAGAATTATGTGAAATATGAAAAAATATGCACATGCTCTCTCATTAAATCTTGGAATCTTAGAGCTAGATAAAATGATGAGTGAAAAATGCTTACTAATGGCACACAGTAAACACTACTATTAGCATTCATTCATAAAGATTGAATGTGTGATTAGTAAGCACGCATGCTGGGAGAGACACAATAGGAGTACCTGCTCTGGTCTTCGAGAATATACAGGCACACCTTGTTTCACTGCACTTTGCAGATATTGTGGGTTTTTTTTTTTACAAATTGAAGGTTTGTGGCAACCCTGCACTGAGGTCTCTTGGCACCACTTTTCCTACAGCATTCCTTCACTTCGCGTCTTTGTGTCTCATTTTGGTCATTCTCCCAATATGTGAAACTTATATAATAATAAATATGATAATTAAAATTATATATTATATATTAAATATATTATATACTATATATTATATGAAATTATATATTATATATATTAAAATATATATTAAAGTAAAAATAATAATTATTTTTGTTATGGCGATCTGTGATCAGCGATCTTTGATGTAACTATTGTAATTGTTCTGGGGCACCATCAAACATGATCATATAAACATGGTGAACTTAATGGATAAATGCTGCGTGTTCTGACTGCACCACCGACCGGCTATTCCCCCATCACTCTCTCTCTCCTTGGGCCTCTCTTATTCCCTGAGACACAACAATACTGAAATTAGGCCAATTAATCACCCTACATGGCCTCTTATTTGAGACAGACAGAAGAGGAGAGAAGCCAGAAGAGGAGACAGAGATTGGAGATATGGCCATAAGCCGAGGAACACCTCCAGAAACCAGGATTGGGAGGAGGTAAAAACAGAATTTTCTCCCAGAGCCTTTGGAGGGGTGCCACCCTGCTCACACTGGGTTTTTGCCCTCTGGCCTTCAGAATTGTGAGGACACATTTCTGTTGTTTTAAGCCACCATGTCTATGGTAATTTGTTATGGTAGCCTCAGGAAATACAATGACCTACTATGATTACAACTTGCAATTTGAAGAACTCACTAAAAGTCTATGTCTGTACAGCTCCGGTTCAGAGGGAGGGCGGATGTGAGGGCCCTTAATAATTTTTAAGAGCATAAAAGGATCCTGAGACCAACCTCTGCTCCACCCAAACATCACATTCCCTACATGGTTACTTGCAAACATCTTTTGAAATAACTTTCCTCAAAGCTCAGTAGCTTTTGGCCCCCTTAACGTTTTAGTTACTTGACCCTTGACATTTGTTTCTGGAAAGTAGAGGAGGCACTGGAAAGAGATGATAGTAGGTTGTCTGTGTTCGAGAACGTGTTGGTGGAGTGACTGGGATGGAGTGGTATGAAGAAATGGAACACGGGGAGAAGTTTAGCACAACCACCTGCGAGTTTTTCACCTGTAAGCCAACTCCTGTCAAAGCTCACACACAAGAGGGCGCAGTGCCACTTTTCTCATCACAACAGTAATAGATGCACACTGTTTACTGCTTTCAAATTGCAGCTGGTCATTGATGATACATTGATCATGGTAACACCTAACATTTATTGTTTTTTATTAGATCCCAGGAAGTATTCTAAGCACTCTGCATGTACTAACTTAATTCCTTCTAGTTGTGTCGGGTAAGTGCTATTTTAAATTTTTAACTAATTTTTGAACTGATAACATACTCATATGGATCAAATTTCAAAAGATACAGAAGGGTTTTATAGGGAAAAGCCTTCCTCATAAACCTGTCACCATGTGTGGAAGACAGCGTTGTTCCATGACCTGACTGCTGCCAGGCCCTCCTGCTAGATCCAGGCCAGAATAGAGACTGTCTCACATAACCCCCCTCAGAGACTAACCCCCCACTACGCCCTAGACAAGCTGGTTCCTGGAACAGGCCCTTGCCTTGCCCCAGGGAAGCATATAGGGCATTTTCCCCTTAGCTGGGGTGGGTCATGCCCCTCTCCATCCTGCCCTTTAGTGCCTGCCTCATGGGACAAAAAAATCTATGTTCTCTTGGCACCGCCCAAGGTGCATCTCATATGTAAGTTCCCTTAATAAACTCTTTTTTTTTTTTTTAAAGATTTTTATTGGGGGAATTGGGGGAATGGGAACAGTGCTGGGGAAGGGGAACAGACAAGTTGCTGTCGTCTTGTTCTTCAATCTAGTTGTGGAGGATGTTGCTTCACTGGCCCAAGTTGGCACCATCATTGCACTCTTCTCTGGCGAGCAGATCAGTCGCCAGCTTCTGGACGGCCGCTCAATAAACTCTTAATGTAATGATGGAGTTGTCAGTCTCTCTCTGAAAATTTTACGTAACACCAAATTACTCTGTACCCCTTCCTTGAGGCAGCCAGTATTATCACTTTTATTTTAACAAAACCAAATCTACAAGGTGTGATCAAATAATACAGTGAATGTTTAAATAAAAAAAAATTTATTACAGTAAAAGACACATCACCATTAATCTCCCCTCAAAATACTCCCCCTGGCTTCGAACACACTTGTCCCATCATTCTTGCCACTTTCTGAAGCAGTTCTGGAAGTCCTCTTTCATGAGTGTCTGTAGTTGCACTATCGTGGCTGCCTCGATATCCTGAATTGATTCAAAACATTTACCTTTCATGGTCATTTTGACTTTGGGGAAGAGCCAGAAGTCGCATGGTGCCATATCCAATGAGTAAGGTGGATGAGGACACACCGTAATGTTTTTATTTGACAGAAATTGCTGTATCAGAAGCGATGTGTGACATGGAGCCTTTCTGTTGTGATCACAAAATATGGTAAATGCTGCTGCCGAGTGCCATCCAACGGAAAGGCAGGGATCTTCAATACGGGAGGCGGTGTGTCAAACCTTAGTAACAGTGTGTGACAAGTTTCAACTTGTTTGGTGCAGTTGGTTGGGTGTGAGCTACAGTTGAGAGGTGTGTTTTCAAGTGTGCTGTAAATCATCCTCCATCATGACAATGCTCCGTGTCCACATTGCTTCTGGTATATGGTAACTTCTGTCAAATAAAAACATTACGGTGTGTCCTCGTCCACCTTATTCACCGGATCTGGCACCGTGTGACTTCTGGCTCATCCCCAAAGTGAAAATGACCATGGAAGATAAACGTTTTGAATCAATTCAGGACATCGAGGCAACCACGACAGTGCAACTAAAGACACTCACGAACAAGGTCTTCAAGAACTGCTTCAGGGGCCGGCCGAGTGGCGCGTTGGTTAAGAGCTGGCTTGGGA